ATGGCCGCGCTGACCCAGCGGGACAGGCCCGGGGGCAGGGACATGAGGGGCACGGTGGACATGAACATGTTCTTCAGAGCCAGCATGAAGTCCTGGCTGCCCGGGGTGGGCCTCTGCGTGAGGAGCCCCAGCCGCTCCCCGAAAATGACCAGGTTGCTGACTGCAGGAGAGGGTGCTGCTGAGCCGCCCCCAGCGCCCCCCGCCCCCCCGCACCCCCCCTCTGCGCGCACCCTCCATGGTGTAGTGGAAGATGCTGGGCTGCACGTCCAGGGTGAGGCTGCCCCGGGCGTTCTGCAGCACCTTGGCCCGCAGGACCTGGGAGAAGTCCCTGGCCACCCTGTCCACCATCGGGGCAAACTTGTGCACGGCCTGCGGGGACAGCACCTCGGGGTTCAGCCCCATCCTCTGGGAGCGCCACTCAGGCCCGTTCCTGTGGGCAGAGGCAGCGCTCAGTCCAGGCCCCGTCTCCTCGCCAGAGGCCTGGAGGGCCGAGCGCAAGCATGGCGGGGTGGGCCGCCACGGACCCCGGGAGCCGCTTGGGGTCTCCGGGGGCCACATGAGGTCTGCTGGGGCCAGGTGGGGTCTCCGGGGGCCAGGTGGGGTCTCCTGGGGCCGCGTGGGGTCTCCGGGGGTTGCGTGGGGTCTCCGGGGGCCGTGTGCTCAGGTGGGCTTTTTGTCCGGGTTGCTGCTGCCTAGATGTGCCCCGGTTTCTGCAAACTCCCCGCAGGCGCTCAGCGGGGACCTTCCCGCAAGGGCGGAGGTGGCCACGGGCCCTCCCACCCAGGCCTGCCGCACAGCCCTGCAGCTCGGCCTGGCCACCGGCCTCGCCCTGCACAGAGCCCGGGGCCAGGGTCCGGCGCCTCGGAGACGAGGGGCAGGCTGGCACCTCTGCAGTTCATGAGGAGACACCTGCTCCCCCCCGCCGCCTGCACCTGCGGGAAGCCAGGGCACACGGCGGGGCGCACAGGCACACGCGTGCACACGCAGCACCCAGGGCCCAGCAGGGCGCACGCAGGCAGGCCGCCACAGACACGGCCACACCAGGCGGAGACACTGCGCGCGTCCACAGCACACACAGCACAGGGCCAGCTGCGGGCCCCGCCCCCGGCACCGAGGCCCTCCCCAGAGACCCGCCCGGAGCCCCGGGGCCCTGGGCGCTGGCCCCCAGGCCGTGCTGGCCCGGGCAGTGCCCTGAGGGGCAGCCTGTGGCCTGTGCAGAGGGGCGGTGCCCGTCCCCTCCTCCTCACGCCCCAGGCAGCACCCTGCCCCCCGCCTGGGCACCCCACGGGGCGGGCGCCCCTCCCGCCACCCAGAGGGCCCGCTCCAGCCCCGCGACTCACATCAAGAACACCCCGCACGCGTGCCCCCGCTGCTGCCGGTAGGTCAGCCAGGGCAGCGTGGGCACGCGCCGGGGGTGCGGGCCGTCCGTCCGCTGCAGCTTCTCCACGTCCTCGGGCAGCATCAGCGACACCGTCTGCCTCCCCCCCACGCTGAGCCTGCG